CTGCGTGGCCCGATAAGGATCTCCACCGAAGGCGCCAATGGTTGCGTTCGAATGCACCCACCGCGCCAGTTTGAGCACACCCCTCACACGTTTCGTGACCCCGTATGGAGCTCCACCGACGGCCCCGGTGACTGCGTTCGCATGCGCCCACCGCACCCATGTTGGCCCACCCTTTACACTTCTCGTGGCCCCGTAAGGAGCTCCATCGACGGCCCCGATGGGTGCTTTCGCATGCGCCCACCGCACCCATTGTGGCACACCCCGCACACGTTTCGTGGCCCGATAAAAGGAGCTCCGCCGACGGCCCCAGTAGATGTGTTCGCATGCGCCCACCGCGCTCATTTTGGCACACACGCTTCGTTGCCCCATAAGGAGCTCCACCGACGGTCTTAGTGGCGTTCGCACGTGCCCACCGCACTCATGTTGCCACATCCTCACGCGCTTCGTGGTTCCATAAGGAGCTCCACCAGCGGCACCAGCGGTTGCGTTCGCATGCGCCCACAGCGCAAATTTTAGCACGTCCATCACATACTTCACGGCACCATAAAGAATTCCACCGACGGTCCGTATGGCTGCGTCCGCGTGCGCCCACCGCGCCCATTTCGGCACATACACACACGCACACACACCTCACACGTTTCATGGCCCCACAGGCAGCTAAAACGACGGCCCCAGTGCCAGCGTCCGCACGCGCCCACGGTAGCCATTTTGGCACACCCTTCGCACCTTTCGTGGCCTATGGGGTGCCTCTCCAAATGCGGTGCATACACCGGCGGTGCTCACACCTGCATATGGTTGGATCCTTCGCCAGGCGAGTTTCTTCGTCGATGAATGGCGCACGCGGCGTGCTGAGAGATGCCTCCGGGCGCTTTTCATGCAGTTGGGCAGGCAGCGGGCCCGTCATCGTGGGTCCAGCCGCGTGCTGAGGTGTTCGAGCCCAGTCTCTGCGCGGCTGGGTCATAATCGCTGATATAGGCCATGCTGCCTTTAATGCGACTGCGCCCGGAAGCAATGCTGTTGCGAGGTTCTTGTTAGACATCGCTCCTGACACACCTCGTGTACGATCGTGCCGGCAAACGTATGCATGAACTCGTTCTGGAGCGCCGTGACAGCGGTTGCCAGCGTGGCCGGCACTGCGGAGCGTTGAGGAGTTGGAAAGCAATCTTTAGGAACTGCCTGCAGTCTTCGTACACGAGACACGATTGCAAGCTGGCGGCTTTTCTGGGACATATTCGAGAGAACGTGCGGGGCACCCCCAGATGATTCCCATGGTATGTTGTATGTGTTTGCGGCAACATGGTCGCGCCATGTGAACCTAAGCCAAGCATGTGCAAATGAACGGACACGTTTTCGACGACACCGCTATGCCATGTTGTGACAGCGCGGCGCTGGGAAACTTTACGACAAACTTCACAAGATGAACGTGGATCGCTTCGTGTTCATTCTGATCTGCGACTCTACAGGTGTAGCGCCAAGACATTCCGACCGCCTATTCATGGAAGCTCGAAGTATCGCTATGCTGAGGCCATCTCTGAACACACGTGGATTGCCAGCGACGACTGTCCGACTCGATCTCCACGTGGAACTCGCGCTGCCGCGTCGCAAGCACGCGCGAGACGCCATGCAGCTGGGGGGCGCCGGACGCACTGACCAATGTGTCATGTTTTCGCCCGCTGGTCTACGGCTTTCTTCTGGAGTGGCCAAGGATAGCTTGCCGCATCGGGCGCAAAGGGGCCACTGCTATCGCTCGGGGGCCTCCATTGCAAAGGGCCTGGCGCAAGCGGGCGCTGATAGACGAGATCCAACCGTGGACATCATCGCCAACATTAAAGACGACGCGGGCTGCGATGCCAAGCCCTGGGGCGCACAACCGAATCCAGGTGAACGAACGGTGCATCTCGTGTAGTGAATACTATGAGTCCACGTATGTGTGCTATCGCTGATTAATGCAACCGAGCAGTGTGCAACAGCGTCCAGGGACGGTTGCCGTCTGTGCGAAAAGCATCTGGCAAATTGGTTCTTGCGCAGATTACCCTCGCACCATGGCAGAGCCCGAATCCCAGCAATTGCTGTCCAGACCTCGCTGCTTGGACCGACGACGTGCGGTGAACCACTGTTTGCGGGCCTCCCGCGCGTCAATCGACACGTTTGTTGCGCGCTCCAACCTGTCTGTTTTCAAAACTTCGCGGCCAAAGTCGTAGAATGCGAGGCCCCGATTCCGACCAGAGGCTGATGCTGTAGTTTGTGACGCCGTGGAAAGCATACGTCGTCTCGCCGCCAAACTTGGCGACGCGCGCTGCGACGCGGTCGGCCTGGCAGGGGGCATGCGGAACAGATGTTGCGAAATGTTGATCATTTTCGCCGGGGCGCCAATAGTTTCGCCTGCAAATGCATTCAGCGTGGTTTCGCATGCGTGCCAGTGCATAGGGCCACAGAGGCGACATGGCAACATTGTGCCCTGTGCAATATCAACGCGCGGGGGCTGCATTCGTCAACGGCGCTGGCAGACAAGTCCTATCCACTTCGAATATGCAGAAATTATCACGGGACTTGTTCGCGCGGCCGAACATGCTGAAAACTTTGCTGTACTGCCGCTTGCGACGGGGTGATCACCATAGATTTGGATCGCTACCGCTGCATGTGGAAGCCAAGAACTAGTTCCCTTTATGTGCCACTTGGCGCCAGATGAAATGTCTTGAAGTGTCGGCCACTTTTGTAACACATGGAATACTATTGGCGGAACTTCTTTTCAACAGCCTGCCGTGCGCTCAACTATGCGCAGCAGCAAGTTGCCCCAGGGTTTTCGGTTTCTTCGTCGGCATCTGTATGTCAGCGCGTGTGTGACTTCGATTGCTTGTCTGAGAGCTAAGAGAGGCATATCGTCTTCGAACCTGCACTACCAAACCGATGGCATCCAAGACCACTTGACGAATGCGCCTCGGCAAATGTGATTACATGTCTCGCGTTGGCGGTGAATCAGCTCAGGGAGGCTTCAGGCCACGAGTACCTCAACATCCCCAAGGGAATTCATGTGTGTGATCAGCGCGCAGCCTGGTTGTACGCTGATGGTCTATCTGATGCCAGCTGGCGCACTCTAAAGAGGATGCCAGCCAGGGAGGTGGCCACGTCGAATGGCCTCTAAAGAGGAAGCCAGCCAGGTGAATCACAAGTTCGCGCGTGCGGGTAGACGCCTCTGCATTACATGCCGCGCGACCTTCACCTACCAAATATGGCGGAATATGTGTTCGCAAAGCCTTCGTGTAGTCGGCCCGCACTACCTACGCCAACGCACCTTACAGCGTAATACGCACTATGCTGCATATGCTCATCGACGCTGCACTCGACTTTGGCCAGAAAATCACGGTCAGACTCCACGTGGAGAATCTCCGGCAATTCGAACACCTTCCTTATCGGTCCCTCATTCGGTATGGTCACTCGCAAGGCTCTGGATGGTTTCGCTACGAATATAGCCTGCGCCACTTGAAATACACTATTTCCAAAACGCCCAGAGATACCAACATGTTGCCACCAACCGGTTGTCGCGAATACGGCTTCTCACGGGCCACCTCATCACAAATGTTCTATTGCCCAGAATGCGTTACGAAACTGGCGCACATCTCTGTCGTGGCGGAGCCAAACCAGCCCCCATGTTCGACCGGAATACTCGCAACACCCAAATGATACACCGGAATACTGACAGCGCCAGCCCGTGTTGCGAACGCCGAAAAAAATACGAACATGACAGCATGACACAATCTTTGAAACATGTTCACAATCCAATGGGAACACTTTCGCGTCGTAGTGCGGTAGAAGCATACAACATGAATATCCTTTCAATCTTTGCTGCCAACAGAGCCTTGAGCCAAAATGGCTACGGAATCGTGCAATCACTCTTGGGAAGTCCAGAACGTACGTACCCCCGAGACGACGTACACCCAATGATGTGTCACCAGGGTCACGGCTCGAGCCACGGAATGCGCCAAAACCAGACCTTTGGGAGTCCCGAGGTGAGCCCTGAAGCGCAGTGTCCAAGGTATGTTATTCTGGCGTGCGTTTGCGCTCCCAGGATCAGTACTCACGCGGTTTAGCAATCAAATCGGCATTAAAGAGCCGAACACGTGCACATGCAAACAACATGTACGTGCACTCGGACACTAGCCAACATCTACCAACACAATCCATTATTTTGGAATGCTTTATCGGGATGTCGCGCCCCACACTCGCTACCTTCCTTACTCCTTGCGAGCCGTTTAACACTGATGGACAAAAACGATCCAAGCAAATTATGACAACGGCACAGGGACGTGCTGCTGGAGCGAGGGGGCGATGATGAGAGCTCGACTTGACTCTGATTTGGGCTCAACAAGTTTGATTATGGTGAGAAGAAGTCGACACATCAGTGCAGAGGCGAGCAATCGATGCTGCTGGCTTTGACTGCTCTACTCACTGGAGGCTTTCCCAGCTCCCTGACAACTCGTCACCACGGACCAGAATTTGCAGGCTTCCCAGAAGGGGTCCGAGTGATGAGGTCGGAGGATCGCGCCGACGACGCCTGTGCATTGCCGATGCATCGGCGACGCCGGCGATGCATCGGCGCCGCCGGCGTGGAGAACATCGGGCTCCACGTCGAACGACATCGCCAATGCGACGCGATTCTCCGACACATCTACTCCGGCCCCATCTGGGTGGCATGGAGCATTGCAACAAACTGCAATCAGTCGATTGCAGCCACGAGCTACGATGGTCAACTGAAATCTGAGCTACGATGGTTCTGGTGGTCGGTGGAGGTCTTGAACGTCTGGTTTTCCGCACCTTCTCGGCCAACTCCACCGACACCTCTAGAGGAAAAAGAACTATGCACATACACCGATTCTGGCCAGGCCCATCCTGAGCCCAGGATCGGTGCATACGCCCTCCTACCTTGGCCAGGAAGGCATATGCACCGATCCTGGGTCAAGGATGGGCCTTGCCAGGATCGGTGCATGTGCATAGTTCTCTTCACCCGAACCTCGCCCCAGCCGTCGGACAGGCACTCTCCAGCATTCGACTGCATGTCGGGCACAATGAGAGCCTCCTCCTCGGGCCGCAGGCCGCAGACAGCGAGCGTGCCGCTGAAGCCCAGCCTGAACCTGTCCTTGTACTTTGCCCAGGCGACCCCCTCTCTGCAAGCCGGCTCCAGAGGGAAATGCCAATCACGCACTTCACCCACCTCGGGGACGAGACAAGAGAGATGTGACGACGAGGATAGTATGGGATAGTATGGGACGAGAAGTAGGATAGTATGGGATAGTATGGGATAGTATAGGATAATATGGGATAGTATAGACGATACAGAAGAGGATGGTACGGGACGAGGAGGATGAGGCGGCAGATGCCACCTTGATAGGGGCATCTAGATCCTTCCCAATGGTCGCGAAGAACACGGCCTCAATATCTGAGATCGCGCTGCCAACGCCTTGACGATAATCGCTGGACCCGCCGCGGTTCCAGCACGTCAAGAGCTCGTACCGTCGTCCAAGTAGCCTGAAAGGCTTGAACGGATGGGCGTCACAACCTTTCAAACTCAAATGCACATGTATGGCGTTCGAGTCTACGGAATATGGCAAGGGTTTCGGCTGTGGGTGACGTCCAACTAGCTGCCAACGATCTACGAGCCAACCAGGCCGTAGAAGTACCGAACAAGCACAGAGATCATGACTGTGGAAATCGTGTATTAACCTTTGATTGCTCTCATCCAAGCAGCTAAAAAATTCTGACCATCGGCTCGATGGTACGACGATCACACGATCACGCTTATGTTCAAGCTGTGCGAACAAGAAGCGGTCGTACCCCACCCTGCGGTAGAACCGGCACGACGGAACCAGCAACGGCGGCAATTGTTCAAGAGCTCCGTTGCTGGCAATCTTGACCGCGAACTTGTAGCAATCATGTGGTAAACCTTTGCCGAAGTCCAGCGCGGACATAATCACCTTCTGGCCGTCGGGCATACACCGCTGCCAAGATTCCAGAAACGCCCGCGCCCGCGCGCCGAAATCGGGCGATTCAGCGGACGAGGCCCCCCCACAAGGATGTACCATGAGGTCGGGCCGCGTTGTTACCCCCTGAGCTCCCTGGAGCCTCCCAAGGAACTTTCGTCACGCCTACCAATTGCCAATCGGCTGCACGCCTGGTGCTCCTCCTCTTCCTCGCTCATCCACCCCAGCCTTTTCGTCATCGTGCTCCTGCTCCTATTACCCTCCTCCCGCTCCTTATGCTCCTCCTGCCCCTCCTTGTCCTTCTGCAACCCCTGTTCCCTGTGCCTCCTTCGCCTCGTCGTCACCCTCCTCCTCCTCCTCCTCCTCCTCCTGCTTCTTCTCCTCCTCCTCCTCCTCCTCCTCCTCCTCCTCCTTGTTCATCTCCGCCTCCCCCATCCTCCCCCATCCTCCCCCTCCTCCTCCTCCTCCGCCTCCTCCTCCTGCTTCTCCTCCTCCTCCTCCTGAGCGACGGGGGTAGGTCGCTCAAGGGACCACCTGGGCGCTTTCGCCGATGACCCCCCGACGACGCGCCACTGCTGGAGCACCGCGCTGGGTCTTGAAGAGACCTCCCTCCACGGAGGTCTCCGGATGCCCCCGGAGGCCCCGAGAGGCCGCCAGGGTTCCAAAACACCGTCCAAAACCGACCTGGACCTTCGATCCTCGAACCGTCCACGAGGCCCTCGGATCCTGGATCCTCGAGCTCCTCCAAGGAAGAACCCCCGCACAACCCCTGCGACCGCGAGCCCGAGCGGCACTCCAGCGCTCCAGCCATCCCCCCTCAGCAAGATCGGTCTGCATCAAATTGGGCAATCGGATCGATCGATGATCCTCAGGACATGCGTTAGCGCCAACGTGTGTTTGACCGTTGAGGCCCTTCAATACGACGAAGGCGAAGAAATTATCTACTAGTCCGATTGAACGGGGTAAACACACGTTGGGCTAACACACGTCCTGCGGATCATCGAATCGAATCGAAACGTGCACCGGATCGGGCTGCATCGGCACGGAGTCGAAAGCCAATCGCATCGGCTGCGCCAAGGTGCACTACAGCGCCATGCAAACACCTACCCGCACGCAAACGTCTGCCCGCACGGGGCCGTCGGACATATCGGCATCGAATCAGATCGGGCCGGCCTGACTCAATGTCGATTTGGATCGAAATGGGCCCCCCTGGGTCACCCAACTTGGCGCACGGCGCCGCGCGGTGCGCGTTTTCTCTTCGCGCTCTCGCGCCAGCCCCTGGGAGAGGCCAACTCTGCGCCTGTCGGCCCCGGCAGCGACGCGCGGCTTAGCTTCGCGCCCCCGAAGGCGAGCTAGCCACCGGGCGTGCAGCCAGAAGGGGCGCCCTTGCAGGCAGGGGAGGCCTTGTGCTCTCGACGTCGGTCGCCCCACGCTGTGGGCTTGAGCGCGTCCGCCACGAGATCCAGGCGTCGAGCTGTCTGCGCACCTCCCGCCGCATCACGGTGCCGGGCCCCGCGGCGAGAGGAGTGCCGCACGCAGGTGCCGTCGACGGCCCTGGTCGTCGAGTCTTCCGCGACGCGGGGTCCCCGGGGCAGGACGGACGCCGCCCCTCAAGATTCGAAAGGGCCGCGTGGGCCTGCCTGGCGGCCAGAGTCGCAGGCCCTCGGGCGGGTGGCAGAGCCGTCCCACCTCAACCGGGTTGCCAGGGCGAAAGAACCGAGAGCTCCTTTGCGTGTTGACCCCTCTTCTAGTGGTGGTGGTGGTGGTGGTGGTGGTGGTGGTGGTGGTGGTGGTGGTGGTAGTGGTGGTGGTGGTAGTGGTGGTGGTCGTCGTCGTCAATGTCGTTATCCTCCTCCTCCTCCTCCTCCTCCTCCTCCTCCTCCTCCTCCTCCTCCTCTCGTATCCTTCACATCTTCCTCCCACCAGACCTGACAGCCACAAGAAGGGAACTCCTTGATGGGTGACTCCCAACTCCTTCGCGCAACTTTACGGTGATCTTTTGAACACATTCCGGGTCACAAGAGCATCTTTCGCGCTAAAGTCCCCAACAACGAAGCGGTGTCTGGACGGGTTCCCCATGGATCTCCTGGAATCCGCCGACCCCCGCTTGCCGGCAACGACAAGGCGTGTGAGAGACGCGTGGCTGTCCCCCCATTTTCCCATCCCCCCTAAGTGAAAACACGCGTTTGAAACGGGGGGGGGGGTCCCCGGGCTCCCAAACACACAACCGCCTGGGCTTCCGGAGCCTCCCGATCTACACGCCGTGGCCTCCAAGATGCCCAAGATGCAATCTCAGCTGGCTCAAGCCGGGCTCCGACATGCCGAGGAGAGCTCAAGCACAAAAAATGTGGCCTCCAGACTGGCCTTGTTGCCTCCAAGACGCCCCAAGAGGTCTTCAAGAGTATCCCCAATGAAGCCACAAGAGGCAATCATCGTCCCAATTCCCTGGGGAAACGTAGATCGTTAGCATGTTCGCCTCTTCGGTCTCAACAACCTCCAAGACTGCTCAAGGGGCCCCAAAGATCATTCCAAGACTGCCTCAGAGACCCTCAAGAAGGCCCCAACACGGCCCAAGAGTCGCCCAAGGTGGCCCAAGAGGGCCCTAACAGAGCCCCAGGAGAGGCCCAAGAGGGGTAACTCGAGCTGACATTTCGAACCCTCCGCCCCAGAACGGACCCCAAGACGGCCAGCAAGCGCCTAAGAAGGCTCCAAGCGGCCCCCAAAGAGGAGCAAGAGAGGCTCCTAATGGTCCCCAAAGGTCCCCAGGACTCTCAACCAATGGCCCCCAAAAAGGATCACCCGTGGACTTCGTTGTTTTTTCCTCTTTGGGTCGGCGGGCTGCCGCAGAACCCTTGAATCTACAAGACATGTCCCGTCATTTCCGCCTGCGTTTCTGACACATTCAGCGTCACCATGTCCGCTTAGATTCAGACGTCCTCACCGACCAGCCGATATTAGCACAGGTTTTCACATTGCTGAGTAGGCCTTGCTAGATAGGCGTGGGACCTTGAAGCGCAACGGGCCACGTACGAAAGCATACAATCGACGCAATGTTCGCTGTCAGCGTGCCGACTTCGCAGTCGCCACGGTCGCCATCGCTATCCCTGCGGCCAGTCGTGATCGCCACCGCGACGATCGCTGGTGTCAGCCACAACCAGCTCTTGACACCCTTGTGGCAGGAGTTCCTAAACAGCCTGACAAATTTCATGATGGTGATCGTTTTCTGATTCATTGTTTTGCAAATCGGCGCGGGCCCTTGGAGTAGATCTTGGCTGCTTTTGGTGTCTGTTTCAGGTAGGCGGGGCCTCCCCCACAGGACGCACTGCTGCAAACAGTGGAATTACGCAGAGGTCCAGAGCCAGACCCACCCCATGCCCCCTCTTCCGCCCAATGTTCAAACGCGGGGTGAGAAATCGCTCACATGAGGGGGGCACGAGGCACGACAGGGTGCCTGAAAATCCACGATGGGCCACCGATCTCAAGGGCTGGCCCTCCCTCACTGAGCGAGTACAATAATCTGATAGAACTCCTGCAGACACGCTGTTAATGGAACAACTCACAACGAACATCAAGCTAACATCTGTTCACCCCTGTCTGGCACGCCAGGGACGGGTACGGAACAGATGGGTACGATGCCCAACAGCACAAGCTGTCTAACGCCGACGGCGGCCGCTGTTGCGAGAGCGACTCTTTGCCTCGAACGGATAACTTCCGCGGACACGCCGACAGCGAATCCTGTTCAAAATGAACAGGAGCTGATCTCGGTCTTCAGGGGGGGGGGGCCTCGTCGATACACGCTGCGTCATCCCCGCCGCACCGCTCCTCCGCAGGCCCCCGCGGCAGCCCCGCGGCGACGAGCGCCGAGCGGCTGCCACCGCCGAGGCGCCGAGGCGACCTCCTGGAGGGCCGCCGAAATCCATTCGCTGTGCTCCAGCCCTCGGGGCACAGGCGGAGCCAGGGCGCCGCGTGCAGGAGATGCGGCAACGATCGGAACGACCGGAGCTTCCCCGGGTGCGATGCGTGCCACGAGGCGTGAAGGGGGTCGCCAAGGCGCAGTCGCGGTCCCGGAGGCCGCCCAGACCTCCTGACTCGTCCTAGCGTTGAGGCCTCCCTCCTAGAGCTGTTCCCCTCCCGGCTTTGCAGAAGCCTTCTTGGAAGGCCCCCCCTTGCGCCACCCCTCTGTGCGCACCACCGGCAGACTGCGACCAAGGCCTCTCCCAGACACTTCCTTCAGCTTGCATCCACTTCCCTGCCAGGCGTCTCACTTCCTCGTCCTCAGGTGCTCGACGTGATAGCCAGCCGAGCCGATCCGACCCATCCCTTCCCCTTTCTTCGCTTCCAGATCCTGGCCCTTTTCTGATCTCTCCTCCGTTCTCCCTGAGTTCTCCTCCTTCCTCCCTCATTCGGGGGCGCGCAAACATGGATTAGCGATCCATGGATTTGGTGCGCGGTCGCCAAATCCATGGATCGGGGGAGGTGCCCTCCCCAAAATGCAGCCCGTGCCGCCTCCCTCGGCGGCGAAAATCTGCGATTTCCCCTGGAAACGGGACCCGTCGCTAATCCACGCCCCCTTGATCCATGTTTGCGATCGCCTGATCCTTGATGGTAGCACCGCCCCAGACATGCGACGTCCTGATTTTTTCAGGACGGCGTCCCCGGAAGCCCCGACCCTTTCCCTGGGGCCGGTTCTTCGTCCTGAATCCTTCTCTGACGCTCCCGCGGCCCGGCGAGGGCCCCCAGGAGCCGCAAGCAGCGGAAAACGTGCCGTCCTGACTTTTCCACGACGCGATCCTGTCTGGGGCCCCTCTCCCTCCCTCTCCCCCCTCCTCGCGGTCACCCCCCCCGGAACCACCGCCCCGCCCGCCACGACCCACGGCTCCACGGTGCCTCCGCGTGCGGCCCAGCGTCACCGTGCCCCCACCGCGGCCCACGCTGGTGCTGCGCACCGCTGCCCACGCTCGCGCAGCGCACCGTTTCACGACCGCGCGCCTCCAGCTCGGGGGCGGCCACGAGGGGGGGGCGTCCAAGAGGGGGGGGAGGGGCGCACAAATCATGGCCGGCGGCCTTTGCGCGGCCCAGGGGGGGGGGCAGGAACGCAATGAAAGAAGACGAGGCGCCATGAAGTCTGAGGAAATACCATGGCCCCCGCCATGATATCCCCCCCCCTAGTCATCACCCCCCGCTTCGCCGCCCCCGGCCAGTGGAGCACGGGGCAGACCGTGCCAGCATTCCTGCAGGCCTGCCGCGACAGTCCTCCAGAACCAGAAGAGGCTCCAAGAACAGGAGCAAGGTATTTGAAAGCAAGGCTCTCTTCCAGACATGCTCTGAGAACATCTCGTGCAGACCACAGGCATTCCTGGAACATCCTTCGGTTGGGCTAATAAGCAAGCAAGGACTCTTCGCCACTGCTTGATCCAACGAATCCGCTCCTCCCTCGTCCCTGTCTCAAACTGGATCGATCCGCCCGGACTCGCCTTGCGGCTACTGGCGACTTGTGCCGCGACTCCAATCCTCTGTTAGCCGGGTTCCCGAGGGTGCATCACAATGAGCACAGCGACAGGACGCGGACCAGCTGTCCGATGTGCAAGGCCAGCGATGCTCTGAGGCCTGAAGCGTATTCATGCTGTGGGCTCTCCAGCATTAGAAGTGTAGCGGTAGCCGAGACACTAACACACGTGTACCACACAGGGATATTTGGACTCACGACGGATACGGTCAATTTCTTGCCTGGGCACTCACAACATGCTCGCACGTGACGCTCACGAAGCACATGGCTCGTCACGCGCCAACAACTTCGACTGCATCCGCCGCTGGCACCAATCAAACGCATATTTGGGTAGCCTTTCGACTCCCACACGCGACGCAACGGACACGATGCGGCGGCTCGGCTATTCCGCGCCTGACGCTCTCCACCAGCCATCTCGCTTCTCCACCCCACTCTCGCTGTTGCAGCGCCCGTGCCCAAGCAGTGCCTCAACACAGGACCCCCTGCGCCTCCCCAGCCGCCGAAAAGAAGCTTCGGTTCACCATGCCTGATCGCCTCTGGCGATCCCGCCATCTCGGGGCCGGCCCCGGATATTGGCAGGGAAAGGCATATCCCCTGTGGAGATCCAGGGGGGAAAGCGCCATCTTGGGGACACCCCCGGGATCCCTCTGGCGATCCCGCCATCTCCACATCATTCCCCATGCCTGCCAGAAGGATATCCCCGGGCGCAGCCCCTCTTCGCGCAGCCAGTGAGGCCCTCACCGCCTGGCCTAACTGCTCGCCCCGAGGCTTTCACGTGCCGCTTCGGCGCCACAACCTCTTTCCCGCCTAGCCCGACCTTGTTCCGCCAAGTTATCCTGATCACGTGGGGCTCCCAGCAAGGCCACCTTCTGGTGCCGCAAGAGAGTTATCGACATCCCCCCTGCTACGGCCCGCCTCCAGCGACTACAATAGCCATCCCTCTGCTCGCCTCACCGGCCGCTCCCATGCTTCTCGACAGCACGGTACCTCATCCCGACCAACTCGGCTCTCCCCATCCACCGACTCCACCTCACAACATGGGCCCTGCGTCGTTGCCTCCCTGCCCTCACTCCCGCCATTCCTTGAAGTGGCGTCCCGCCCAACTCCAACGACGATGCAAAATGTGTCGCGGTCTGCGCATCTTCCTGCAACTCAGCCTCGACCCCCGCTTCCCAAGGTGCACACGGGCCTGACACTCCTGAATACAGCGGCCGCACTCACTCCGCCTCTTGACCGTGAAGCCGTCTGGAGAGGGTGTGCCGGGGGAGCGAGCCAGCCACGCGAGCGAGCCTGTCGGCTGCTCGTCCCTGTGCAGGGACTGGGTGAAGAAGCAGCCTACCAGCCAGATGCCCAGTGCGAAGTATGAGCAGTCTATTGAAACTTCGGGACTCGGAGAAACGCATGCGCTCTTGACAGGTGGGTATGAAAGGGAAGCCAAGAGCCAAGGGGATGTCCTCATGGCCTCATCTCTCTCCTCATGGACGAAGGAGGGTTGAGGCGCCGAGCGGAAGAGGGGAAGGGAGCGGGCTGGAGGGAAAGGACTGACGGGGAGAAGGAGGGGAGGGCAGAGGAACACAGGGTGAGGGGACGAGTGCGGGGGGGGGGGTCCAGGAGGAAGTGGACGGGAGCAGGGGGGAGAGGGAGTGCCTCGGTGAGGAAGTCCGCCCCCCCTCCCCTACGAGGCCAAACAACCCACTACACAACATACGCTTCATTCCAGAGCCACCGACCCGACAGCAGAATGCACGTTCAACATTCACATCCCCACAAGGGTTCTGACCTGCGCCACACCAAGGTTCTGACCTGCGCCACACATCCCCACAAGGGTTCTAATTATGCCTACGCTCGGCTCACCGTCCTGTCCCTCAAGATCCGACATCATGAAAAAGTCACGGCTTTGTGGAGTGAACTCCCGCCTGAGCTCTCGACCCCATCAGTGTGCCTCACTTTTCGAGCTGACAGATCCGAGAGGGTTCCAGGGCCCAGAACGAGGCGGACAACACAACTCGTCGTGCCACTTTTAGATTCACGAGGAAAGGATCGTTTAGGTCTAACAGCCCCAGCCCAGGGCATCATCCATGGTCACTGGACCTTTCGCGACCCCTTTCCTGCGGTCCGCTTTATCGTCCCAGATCCATTCCCGACGGTGCCCCAGGGGCCAGACTGGACCCTGGGAGGCCCAGAACGGAGAAGAGCAATCGTCTCGATCTGATCGAGCCGCTGGATGTGTGGGCGTCTGAAGGCCGCCGCAATTGACTACCTACTAAACCACCCCAACCCAACCCGAAGACCCCGATTTCGGGTTTTGGGGGGGTACGGGCTTCACATGTGTTTTTCCCATGTTTCCCGACCCCCCCCCACCGGAAATGGAGGGCAAATCGGGGCCTTCGGGTTGGGTTGGGGTGGTTTGGTGGGCGGTGACCCATGAGGCCAGAAGGCATCGGTTCGGAGGGTCGCGCCGCATCGCTGATGCATCGTCGACGCCGGGATGCACAACAACCGGGCTATGGACTGCGCCGCACCGCGTGCATTGGCAGTGCGGCGAGATCCTCCGACCCCATCTGCTCTGGCCCCAGCTCGCCGGGCCTGGACTCAACCCAGCTCCGCGCAGATGAAAGGGCCCTGGGACACACAAGTAAATACACACAAATAGCAGGATTCCCCTATATTTCCAAATATTTTCTGGGTTTGCATCTTCCCCCCCACTTCCCATATTTCCCCATATTTTCTGGGGAATCGACGACTCATTGTGGCTGTGATTGTTTTCCCCCTCCTGAGCAGAGCCCGCTCAGTCCACCCGGAGGCAGCGCCGCCACTCCGACTCCGGGGCTTCCCGGGCCTGCCTCGGCCCAAACGCGAGGCCACCTCCATGGCCGCGGGCGGCTCCCCGGCCCGGCCCGGCCCGGATCGGGCAGGCGCTCCGGCCGAGCCCCTCCGCCTGCGGGCTGAGTTTGGGCGGCCCGGAGGTCCTCGGCCCCGTCCTCGGCAGGCGCGGCGCGGCGCGGCGCGGCCGCCGCCGCTTGGCCGCCCGGGAGCCGCCGCTGGCGCGGAGGGGCGGACCGCTCGAGCCACGGCGCGGCAGGGGTGGGGCTGCTGGCGAGCCTGGAGCTGGACACACGCGTCGTGAAACGCAACTAGGTCATAGAAAGGAGACCCGGTACAACCCTTGCACGTGCCCTTGCACAACCTCTCACGGATCCGTGCACAAACTGTGCGAGTTTTTTCTTTCCAGATGGGTGGGAGGATCAAGGAAGAGACAGAACCTTTGGTCCTTCCTGGGCATCCATAGCAATATCCGGCTCACCCCAACCACACATGCTCTTGGAGCTCCCTTCACTGTCAAAGAGAACGCGCCTGCACTTGGACAGAAGGTTAACGCCAATTACCCTGCAGGATCTCGTACACGCTGGGATTCGCAAAGGACGGAAGTGGAGGGACCTTTGGGGGCCTCGGGCCCTTCGAAAGGGTGAACACATCGGGCTGCGCAAGAAAAGACTGATCTGCTTTCCGCATATCAGACACAAGCATGAAGTCCGCGTAGTGTGCAATATTTCATCTTCCCCCTCCTCCTTGTACATCCCCTCACTCCTCATCCCCCCCCTCCCACCTACCGTTTGCAGATTCCATTTCGCCCCGCTCCTCCCCATGACGAGAAGGAGAAGGAGAAGGGGCGGACCTCCACAGGGTTGTGCTTATGGCGCGGTGTTCTCATCGAGAACCTCCTCCTCCTCCTCCTTCTCCTCCTCCTCCTCCTTCTCCATCCCTGGGTCTCCACCTTGACGAGAAGGAGAAGTGGGAGCGGGGTGGGTAGAAGGATGAGAACCAGTGCTCGGGGAGACGTACGCCTTGAACTTGGGTAACGCTCGAGCTTGCCCGACGGGGCCATCAGGAACACTGCGGAAGCTTGCATGACACTTGGAGGCGAACGCCCGCAGCAAGCATCCCACGAGGACGGGACCCTTGAGCTCCACGCCGGGGCCACAGGAAAGACGTGGCGACCTGGAGCTCCAACACACCTACGACTCGCGTGTCTTTTTAGGCGGGATCGCATGCGGCCCAGGCGCCATCGGGTCGAAATCGGACTGGACATGCTTGGATTTGAGCAGGGACCGACCGTCCCGGCATTCCTAGAGTCCTACCACGGAATGTTCTTAGAACCCAAAAATGTTCGAACAACAAAAACAATGTACTTAGAACAGCTCGCGATGCGTTAAAACAAGACAGTCCCAACCAGACTTGTTCCAAGAACATTTCGTAGGAACCACCAACAGTTCTTACAACATTGCTTGGTGGGGCTATAAGCGAGCCGGTGCGCTTCGCCACTGCTTGACACTCGCGGGTGCGGGCAGGCACGCACCATGCAGCAAAACATCTGCCGCTCAAACGCCCCTCCTTCGAACGACGTCCTTTTTTCGCGACGCGGTGGGTCACCGGGATGTGAACCTGCCCCGCCTTGGGCGGTGCAGGAGCTGTAGCGCAGTCCCGTCGGCGCGCTCGAACACTTGCGGCCGTGCACGAAAAGTAAATTATAGGTGTGTGTATATATATTATAGACATGCATTCATAAATATATTCATAACGGAGCAAGGAGCAACGGCACCAGCAACACCGCCGCAGGGATCAAAGGGTGGTCGTGGTTGTGCGGTGCCGATAACTCCCCGCATCCCGCTCGAGGCATCCCCGGTGCCCCGCTTGGGGGAGGCATCGTGGACCTCCTCTCCAGCGGTGGCCCCGCTTTGGCTGCGGTCCAATGCGGGCGGGACGAGGGGGGCCCCCCCCGTTGAGAGCGCAGGGGGTTTCTTTCGAGTACGAACTCGACTGCAAGGTTGGAGGAATGCTCGCAGGTCTGCGAGCATGCCGCGCACCTTTCGTGGGTTCGACGAACACCTAGATTCCGGGGCAAGAAAGCCATCTTGCAGTCCGTCTCCAAAAGGCAAGGGGCAACCCCTCCATGGGCAGCCCCTCGGCGCGCCGGAAACGGTTGCCGCACCGATCCTGCGGGGGCCCGCAAGGGCGCGGCGGGGACCCCGCCATGATGCCCGCGCCGCCAACACGTCGCGACGACTGCGCACTTCGAACCTTGAGAACAAGGGACTCTCGTGCCTCTGGGGGGCTTCTGGAAGGACAGCCCACAGGTCCTGGACCCTGGAGCGGTCCCGAGGACCAACCTTCCATCCTCGTTTTTTCTTGCGGCGGTCCTGCCAAGGGACCCAGGGAAGAACGAAAAACAACGGCATGGGCACGATCTTCTGGAGGTCCGCGCGGTTTTCGTGGATCGGCGCTGAGCCACCCCCTTCCTGGCGCGCGGAGCGCGCCGGCGGCGGCGCCGGCGGCGGCGCCGGAGGGACCGCAGAGAGGGCCCCAGCACCGAGCCAGGAAACCCACGCGGAGCTCTGACAGTTTGCGTGTGCCGTCCGTTCTTCTCCGAAGCGCAAGCTGACCACCTCGCCGATCCTGGCTGGGCCCATCCTGGGCCCAAGACTGATGCGCGCCCCAGCCCAGCTTGGCTGGGGAAGCGGATGCACCGACGCTGGGCCCGGGAAGGGCACGTCCGGGATCGAGGAAGGCGGCCAGCCGATGTCCCCCGCGTCCTCAGGCGGGGGATCGGCTACACGCAAGAGTGGCCCTAGGCAAGAGTGGCCTCTGTTGCGCGGCACGGTGGCCAAACCCAAGCGCGCAAGACGCATACGATCGCACCGCGCTCAGCGATCGGGGGACCTCAGTGGGCCCGCGCAAAAGGTCATTCCAGCGAAAGGTTATTCTAAAGTCTAGTCGAAAGGAAGACACAGGAGCCTATTCTTATTGCCTGGATAGAACACCTGGACGACACAACCCGAAGGAAGGTGCCCAAGGTGCCCGCATGAATCCAAATGCATCGGACCTCGTGTCACGAATGGCAGCACAGACGCGCCCCAGACGTCCCATCTGCACCACTGTTGCGCGGCGCCTCGGGACACCACCCCGAGACACTGCCACCAGCATCACCCCCACTTGGCCGCCGGCGTCAAGCAGCGGAGACCCCACTGCCCGAGGACTTTAGTTCCCGCGCCCCCCCCGTCTGGGCACCCCTTCGAGTAACCCCATCGGGCATCTCAGGGGTGGTACGGCAGGCTTGCACATACTGTGGTTGGCCAACCACAGGGCACGAATCTCTCCCACAGCCCCGTCGGGCTGTGGTGCCAATCGTGCTGCCAACCCGCCTGTTTCCTGGGGCGCCACAGGGGGCACCCAGCGGCACAGGGGCCAGAGGGCACAGGGGCCACAGACTTCGCAATCTCAGGGGTCGGGCTGGGCCCCGAGGGCCCGAAATCGGAGCAACCTCCAGGACCCCATGTTCCCCCGGCACCCCCCTCCTGCTTCACTGAAGGGGCCCTGGGACACACAAATAAATACACACAAATAAAAAGATTCCCTATATTTTTCTGTATTTTCGGGGTTTTTGTCTTCCCCACCACTTCCCATATTTTCCCATATTTTCTAGGGGATCCACGATTAATTGTGTCTGTGTGTTTTTCTCCCTCCTGACTCTCCTGCGCGTGGACCTCCCCTGCGCCGCCGGTCGCCGTGGCGAGGCCGGTGCCGCCGCTGCCTGCTCCGAGGAGGGGAGCGAGCGAGCGAGCGGCTCGCGCGCGGGGGCCCCCGTACGAGTGGCCAGGAACTGCACACGTGCAACAATGAAGGGGCCCTGGGACACACAAATAAATACACACAAATAAAAATATCCCCCATATTTTCGTATATTTTCTGGGTTTTTGTCTTCCCCCCCACTTCCCATATTTTCCCATATTTTCTGGGAATCGACGATTAATTGTGTCTGTGTGTTTTCTCCCCTCCTGAAGCAAGCTCGCGTCGTGGAGACTTCGGCGCTGCTTTTGGGCACCGCGGGGATCACTCCACCGTGAACGATCGGCGGCCTGGCGATCGCCAGATCGCTCCACACTGGCAGATTCTGCGCCCCTGGCGGCGTTCGGCGGTGAAAGCCCGCAGCAAGGTCGCCGCCGCGTCGACACGACACGCACCTGCCGCAGCAGAAGCTCTCGGAGGTCCGCGCGGGCATCCAGACGTTTCCCGACGGCAGACGCGCATCGCAGAGACAAGCGCGTGGTGTCTGGCAGCGCGTGGATCGCTCAGGCTTGAACCCGCGTGGCTTGCCGACTGCGCAGATCCTTAGGAGGAGGAGGAGGAGGAGGAGGAGGAGGAGGAGGAGGAGGAGGAGCAGGAGGACGAGGAGGAGGAGGAGGAGGAGGAGGAGGAGGAGGAGGAGGAGGAGGGAGGAGGAGGAGGAGGAGGAGGAGGAGGAGCAGGAGGAGCAGGAGGAGCAGGAGGAGGAGGAGGAGGAGGAGGTGGGCCGATTCTGGGCCACCCGCGGCGGTCAGACCTTGAACGCCCGCGCTGGCGTCGTCGCTGGGTCAACACGACACGAGCTTGCCGTAGTTGAAGGCCTCCCACACATTTGAAGGGGAACTGGGACACACAAATAAATACACACAAATAAAAGTATCCCCTATATTTTCCCATATTTTCTGGGTTTCTGTCTTCCCCCCCACTTCCCATATTTTCCCATATTTTCTGGGGGGTCGACGATTAATTGTGTCTGTGTCTGTGTGTTTTTTCCCCTCCTGATTGAAGGCCTCCCACACATTGCCCGAGTACGTGGGGTCGGATGATCGCGCCGCAGCGCCGATGCATCGGTGATGCATCAGCGTCGTCGGCGCGGAGAATTTCGGGCTCCGCGTCGAGCAGCATCGCCGACGCATCGGCGACGCGGCGTGATCCTCCGATCTCATCTGCTCGGACCCTATTCCCATATAGCCGACACTGTGTTTTTTCAATGCTTAGCCCCAACAATCTCGACCCATTCCCCGGGAATAGATCTTCGCCCCAGGTCCAGCTTCGGGGCCCGAAGATCTGCCTTGGAATCCGCGAGATCCAAGATTCACGCCGGCACTACAAGAACAGGTGCTCGGAGATCTACGCTACGCTTGGGAGGCCTGGAAGTTGGAGGCGACAGGGGGGTCTGCTGTGGATGGGCGCCAACACAAAAAACAAGCCAGGAGGGCAACAAGGAGGCAAGTTCAGCGTCCACTGCCCATCTGGAGGTGGCCCAGAAGTGGCAAGGAACAAAACCTGTGTATGGTGCCTCTCCCCCGCTCTCACGGCTGAACCCGTGATGCCCTCAGCGCCCCTCTAAAGGGGACTCCACTAACAGAGTCCCCTCTAACGGGGACTCCACTTACGGGAAGGCACTCCGCCTGTCGAACCCCAATCCTCCCTGATATGGGCAACGCTGCGATGCCAGAAACAGACCCTAAAGCGAAAACTTCCGGCAGTGCTCAAAAAATACCCGTCAGTGAATAGCCATTACGGTGCCGCTGATGCCCCACCTCGCACCCCCAGTCGGCTCCAACCTAGAAGTGTGCAATTGGTCGCCCTTCGTCGTCGCCATCCTCTGACCGGGGAGGGTGCTCAGCAGGCGCCGTACTCGGGCCCTTTGCCGCCGCCGATGGAGGCCTGACGGCCAGGGGAGGGGAGGGAGGGCCACGGTCTGCTGCTGCTCGTCCTCGTCCTCCTCATTGTCCTTCTCTGCCTCCTGCTGCAGCGCCTGCTCCTGCTCATCCTTCCTCCTCCTCCTCCTGCTGCTGTTCCTCCTCCTGCTCCTCCTCCTCCTCCTCCTCCTGCTCCTGCTCCTCCTCCTCCCTTTTCCCTTTTCCATGCTTCTTCCAGAACTCATCCCTGTCGCACCCCGGGGCTGGTGGAAAGGGCGGGCTGGGCATTTCGCCTGAGACCATTCATTATCATGTTCTGCAAATGGAGGATCTCGCCTAAACGCCGCGCACATTCGGTTTTTATGTTTGCAAGAGCTTCACGGATGGAGGGCGGATGGTTTTCGACATATGGTTCTCGCCTTAGCGCCGCGCACATTCGTTAAACAATTTACCGGAATTTCGCGAATGAAGAGCGGACCGTTTTCAAAATGTGGCTCTCGCCCCAGCGCCGCGCACAATCGTTTGAACATTTGCAAGGGACTCACGGATATAATGCGGTTCGTTTTCAGTATGATAACGTCCCAGAAAGGTGCCCTGGCACGATGTCGGAATGCCAGGGCACAACAGTCACGTTGATTTGCGGTGTTGGAATCCCAAGACCGGGTTTCTGGCAAGATTCAGAATGGCCATGACGCAACAGTAACGGTGATCCGCGGCGTTGAAATCCCACCAGCCCTTTACGGCGTAGGTGTTTTAGGGTGTTTCCTCTTCCACACCCCCCTTCCCCTTCGGGGAGGGGTTTACCCTCACTTCCTATGATTCAACACCCCCATCCCCACCCAGCCGGCCCATCGCAACCCCGCCGCCCGAACTGGCAAACAACAACACAAACTCGTTTCCCTCGTCAACATGGACTTTTTTTTCGTCGACGCTGCGAACAGGTGTAGCAGAAATGGGACGCGGTGCACATCGCGCGCGGACGCCTGGCCAATCCTACGCGGGACCCCCCTGTCATACCTGTCAACCGCAGTTTCTCCCTCCCTCCCACTCTCCCTCCCCTCCTCCTCCTCCTCCTCCTCCTCCTCCTCCTCCTCCTCCTCCTCCTCCCCCTCCTCCTGCTCCTCCTCCTCCTCCTCCTCCTCCTCCTCCTCCGTTGTTATTTGCTTTGTGATTCGAGGCCGTCGCGCTCGCGGGGAGGGAGCTGGAGGCACTGGGGGCAGCTGGCGCGCCCGTCGTGCAGGCCGTCGGCCGCAAGCAAGCGCGACGGCGGAAGGAGAAGAGCCGCTCCGACGGGAGCCGAGGCGGCCCTGGCGGCGGCTCAGCCGGCGGCAGAGGCGAGCAAGGAGCGCCTGGGCTTCTCTCGGGCCGCGCGGGCTGCCGAGGAGGCCGCGCTGGCCCGAGAGGGCCTGGGAGTGGCCCAGCTTGCAGCAGCCGCGCTGGAGGCCCTGGACGCCGAGGCAGCCGAGCTGCGGGCGGCGGCCGCTGAGCAGGGCAGCCCTCGTCAGACTGTGAGGCCACCGATGGCTGGGAGGCGCCGGGGCTGCTGCGGGGGAAGGGCGACTGTGTCTCGTCAGCTTGCCAGTCGGGCAATCCTCCCCCTCACGGAGGTCGTGTTCGCCTGCTCGTACATGGAAGGACGGGGCACGCTGCTCGAGCACTTCGGACAGGGCACTGCTTGCCCCTGCCGCGCAGCGGCTCGGCGGACTCGCCGATGCACCAAGACCATTGCCAGTAGCTCATCGCATTCCTTTTCCACGTCCTCGCGACTTTCCTCCTTGGACAAACGCGCTCCACTGCTCGCAACGTAGCTACTCGCGAATGGCCTGAATCCGCCGCAAGGGTTTTACGAGATATTACACAAAAGCAGGCGTATGCTTTTTTGTTCCGGACGTTTGAGGGTAGGCACTCTGCGAGTAGTGGGACGCGCTCGGCGACTCTCTGGCTTCTCCTCGCGCTCCTCACCCTCGCCGCCTCCCTCCTCTCCTGACCCAGCCTCGTCCCTCAAGAGGCCCTTCCCCTCGACCGCGCAACGCCAATGGGGGGGGGCACCACTGGGGAGGTCGCCCCCTCCTCGAGGAGCGCCGTGTCTTCTCGAGGCCGTGCGTCCCCCCCCCTCGTGGAACTCCAGAGCTGGCGCTGCCCGGCTCGAGGGTGCCGTCGGGGGCGCCTCCTTCTGCGACAGGGACGGGGAGTCGTACTGCGCGCCCACGGCCCAGTCCTGTCGCGAGGGGGCGCGGGGACGCGGGGGCGGCGAGGGGAGGGGCAGGGGGGGGGAGGGGAAGGGATGGGATGGGGAGGGGGAGGGGAGGGGAAGGGAGGAGGGGAGGGGAGGGGAAGGGAGGGGAGGGGAAGGGAGGATGGGAGCGGCGAGGGGAGGGGAAGGGAGGAAACTGGGAGAATGTGGACGGGGTGTGGCAGGGCTTCGGGTCGCGCACAGATTGGCCCCCCAAGGCAGTCCCGGCTGTAAGGGGCCACGTGCGAATCCTACCCCACCCCCCACGATTTCTGAGGGGGAGGGTGGGGTTCACTTACTTCGCTCGGGAGCTCCCGAACGGGGTGAACCCCCCCCTCCCCCTCAGAAATCGTTGGGGGTACGGGCAGGGTTCGCATGTGGCCCCCTAGGCTCAGCAGGAGTAGCTCCAGCTGGCCTCAACAGAGCCCCCGAGAAGTCTGGGGCGGAGGCGGCGCCACGGAGTTGAGACCGCCCTGGGCTACGCGGGGGGTCTGTTGATGCCAGCTGGGGCTGCTCGGGGGGCCAGTGGAGGCCAGCTGGCACCATGTACCTGGGGGGGCTGTCTGCGTGCAACCCGAAGCCTTACAAGATGGGCGAGGGGGAGGTTAATCAGGGCGGGACTGGCTCAGAGGGTGAAACATCGATCTGGAGTCGGCGATGCAGCGCCAATAGATCGGCGATAGGCCCAGGATGGCGAATCCACAAGGTGCTGAGCGGGGTGGGCAATCGATTTCCTATCGTCGATCAGCGGGCGATTGGGGGTGGACGCGTGCCGCCCTGAGCCTATCCTTCCCAACGTTGCCTTTGAGAGAAGGTGGATTGGGCAAGGGGCGAGGGAGGGTTGGGGGCAGGGAGGCCGGGGAAAGAGGGGGGGATGAAGAGGCGGGCAGGAGGCAAGAGGGGTGGAGAGAGAGAGAGAGACAACAGCTATTTCTGTATATCTTTATACATATGTATATACATATATATATATAGAGAGAGAGAGAGAGAGAGAGAGAGAGAGAGACAAAAAAACAAAGAGACAAAGAGAGAGATGCGAATGGAGGGGACATGAAGAGGTGGGACTCAATGACCTTCGCTGGTACGCGTGTGTGTGTGTGTGGCAGCAAGCCCAGCGATGCAAACCTCAACGCGGCAGCCCACGGAGAGCAACCTCCCGCCTGATGACGTTTCCATCACTGGAGGAGGAGGAGGAGGAAGAGGAGGGGGAACAAAGCAGAACACAGCAAGGCGGAAGCTCGCGGACTGGACTCCTGGTACGGAAAACCTGTCGACGAACCTCTCGCCCGTTCGTCACTCATCGCAATTGGCGTCTCGCCATCAACTTTCGGAGTTCCGCGCGCATTTTTGGAGTCGGCGCTGGAACCCCCCTGCCTTGTGCGCGCGGAGCGCGCCGCCAGGGGGCGCCCGCTGCCGTCCCCAAAAATAGCCGCGCCAGAAGCCTAGCAGCGCATCGCTCCCCAAACAGTGCACGCACTAAATTATGGGGTTCCTGATTGCTTTCTACAAAGGGGCCCAGGGACACACAAATAAATACACACAAGTAACAGGACTCCCCATATTCTCCCATATTGTTTGGATGTTCGTCTTCCCCCCCCACTTTCATATTTTCCAATCTTTTTCTGGGGAACGACGATTAATTGTGTCTGTGTGCTTTTCCTCTCCTGATTCTAGCGCGCTGTGCTGGTGTGCCGCTCTGGCAGCTATGTAGTCGCCGTCACAGCCCCGTCGCCGCGTCGTCGCCGCCCGTCGTCTGGGCCACTGTGCCACTTGCGCGATGATGTAGTCGCCGTCGCCGCCCCGTCGCCGCGTCGTCGCTGCCCGTTGTCTGGGCCGATGTGCCACTATTGCGGTGATGTCGTCGCCGTCGCCCCGTCAGCGTATCGTCGCTGTCTGTCGTCTGGGCCGGTGTGCCGCTCTGATGGCTATGTAATCGCCGTCGCCGCCCCGTCGCCGCCTCGTCACCGCCTGCCGTCTGTGCCGGTGTGCCACTCTGGCGGCTATGTAGTCGCCGTCGCCGCCCCGTCGCCGCCTCGCCGCCGCCCGTCGTCTGGGCCTTGTCGTGCATTGCGGTGCGCTGTTTGCGTGGCTTTGCATTGATGTGCATTGCAGAGTGCACCGCGCTGATTGCCCCACATGGATTGCACACCACCGATTGTGCAACGTAGATGTACAACTATTGCGCAGCATGTATTGCACCATACAGGTTGCACCACATAGATTGTTCAATTCACATTGCGCACTATATATTGCACACCATCGGTTGCGCAACATCGATTGCACCACATGGATGCGCCACACGAATTGAACCAGTTCGCTCTACAATGACTGCGCCCCGTGGATGGTGCAACATATATATATATATATATATATATATATATATATATCATGTTGCAACGCGATGGTTGCTTCAGATGCACTGCGCGACACTTACTGCCCGAAGCGAACTCCCTGGGGCCCGCGCTGGCTGCTGCACGCCCCTCTGCCGCGGGCATCGGCGATGCGGCGAGATCACCTGAGCCCGTCTGCCAGGAAAGGGGGGGGCGGCAGAGGCGCGGAGCGGAGGCGCCGGTTCCGGGCACCGGGGGTGCCCGTGCCCTTTGGGCAAGGCGCAAGAGGCCGTGGCCTCAGACCGTGTGGGTGCTGAAACTCTGGATGACATAGTTCACGAACCACAACAAATAGAGCGTGTGGGAGGAACAGGGGGGGGCGGCAGAGGCGCAGGCTGGCGGGAGGGGGCGGGCACGTCGACCTGGCCTCGGCGAGACATCGGCGGACGATCGCCGATCCATCGGCTCCGAGGCGGGGACCTCGTCTCGACGATGCTCCGGCCTCGGCCGAGGCGGGGTGCCGCGCATCGTCCTGGAGCCACTGGCCCCGCTCGTGCAGCGGTGCTGCGTCGAACGTCAGCCGGCTCGGGTCGAGCTCGAGTCGAGCTGGGATTTTTTTTTTTCTCGAGTCGAGCTGGGATCGTGCTAGAAACAAGCTGGGTTCGAGCCCGAATGGAGGCAGTTCGTCGGGCTGGCCCCAGGAGAGGCCCCCGGGAAGAAGACGTAAACACAGGGAGGGGGGGACTTTGAGCCAGGGACACGCTTGCGGGAGCCCCAGTCCCACGCCACACATTCGCGCGGTGGCGGGCGAGCCTCGGCGGGAAGAGCGCGCCGGAAGCAGCGATGCCATCGGGGAAGCGGTGCCCGACGACGGGCACGGGCGCAGCCGCTGTTTCAGTCAGCGGGCGCTTGGCGGCCGACGGGCGACTGAAAGCAGAAGATAAACATAGGCACCCCGAGACGGCCTAACAGGACAGGCTTGCTTATCTCAGGCTTGCTCATCTCAAGACAGGACGGCGAAGCTTGCAGAAGATACGATGGGCATCCCTCGCAAGGGACAGGCTCGCTGATCTCAGCGAAGCTGTAGATAGGAACGGGATATGCCTGCAGGCTGGCGCCACTGACGAAACGCCTCCACCATCGAAGGTCTGGTCGCCGGCGTGGCTCGGTGTCATTCTTCTCAGAGCACCCCTGTCGACGCCTGCTGGCCCAGCGGGAAGCATGCGGATTGCGAGGTCTGTAGAAGCTCGCGGGCGGTTTGAGAAAGAGCTGAGCCAACACGTCGAATTACGCGATGCAAGCGCTCTTATCTTTCAAGCGAAACTGGTGGGGGCCCAACGGGCATTCAGATCTGCGACTGCACGCGTCCCGAGACGACCTAACATCCCTCGCCCACACAGTCTTAGCTCAGCGAAGCTGTAGATGCGAATCGCGTATTGATGCAGGCTGGCGCCACTGACGAAACGCTCCCACCATCGAAAATCTGGCTGACGGCATGTCTTGAGATCATTATTATCAAAGCAACCCGGTGAATGCTTGCTGGCCCAGCGGGAAAACATGCGGATTGCAAGCTTTGCAGAAGCCCGAGGGCGGTTCGAGAAAAGGGTTTCCCTAAACCAACACGTCGAATACGTGTCGCACGCATTCTTACTTTTCAAGCGGACGAGGTGTGGGCCCAAGGGGCATTCATGTCTGCGACTATACACGCCCCGAGATGGCCGAACATCCCTTGCCCAGACAGGCTAGATATGAAGTTGCTGATATGAAAGAAATATGTCGGCAGGCTGGCGCCACTGGCGATAACGCGTCCACGATCGACACTCTGGCCGACAGAATGGATTGAGATCGCGATTATCAAAGCACCCCGGTGGATGCTGGCTGGCCCATAGCCCATAACATGTACTGGTGGCCCACGAAGGTCGGAGGAACAAAGAAGGCTCGGGGCGGGCGACGACTCTAGACGAGCGCTGCGGGCAAGCGCGTGGCACAGCGCGCGGCCAGCGTCTGCTTGGTCTCCAGCACCTTGCGAAGCGGCCTGGAAAGAATCGCGCCTTCCTCCCTTCCTCATGGCGCAGCGGCCGCGCTTCTAAAAAAAAATCGCAGATCTTCTCTTGTGAGCCCCCTCGTTCGAAGCCCCTGAGAGGCGAATCGCGTGAGGGCGCGCGCCGGCTATGGCCGGGCCGCTTCGCTCTTCTCCACTTCGCGCTGGTACTCGGCGAGCATGGTGCTGAACACCCCTCGGGAATCGGTGGCATTCGGGCGGTGGGTCATCGTCATCGCGTTCGTGGGCCGCGAGCGCGACGCGTCGACGACCAAGAGGCCGTCGTCCTGCCCGCCCGCCTTGGCGGCCTCGTGCCGCTCAGAGGGCGCGAGGACGATGCCGCGGTTGGCGCCGAGCTTGGCGGCCAGTGCTGGCTGGCTCGTCGAGCCGCGCGGCAGCTCGGCGCGAGCGGCGCTGGCTGGAGTCCCAACCGCGTAGCGCCCCTCGTGCAGCCCGCGGCCGACGCCCAGCGACGAGCCAGAGGCCATCGCGGAGCTCCTGCGCGTCGAAGGTCTCGGCGGCCGAAGGCGCCCCTTTGGGGGGCGAGTCCGCCAGAACGCCTGCCCAGCATGAGCCCAATGCCAGCGGATAAGCAGCAGCTCGGGGCGTGAGGTGAGCGCGTCGCACAACCGAGAGTTTGCGCAAGAGACAAGGTTGATTCCCCAGGGCCTCTGGAGACCTCAAACTCGCCGAGATCCGAGTTGGTTTACAGTGGGCCGTACCGAACATGCTCATTTTGAGCAGGGACCGACCGTCCCGGCATTCATAGTCCTACCACGAAATGTTCTTAGAACCCAAAAATGTTCTAAGAACAAGAACAAGGCTCTTAGACCATACACCCGATGTGATAAAACAAGACAGGCTCCGCCAGAAAGGTTCTTAGAGCATTCCGTGGGAACCACAAAAGGTTCTTAGAACAGTGTTTGGTAGGCCTATAGGCGAGCCAGGACGCTTCGCCACTGCTTGCTCACTTTCAGTGGGACGTGCCGAACTGCTCGCCCCGCCCGGCACGCAGGGCCCGACCAGCCGCGGGCTCCGCAGCGCCCAGACCTCCGCCCAGAGGTCGATGGTGCGCCTCAGCTCCTGGTCGAACGAGTTGGGCAAGCAGATTCCCGCTGTGATAAAACAAGACTGCCCCCGCCAGAAGTGTTCTTAGAGCATTCCGCGGGAACCACAAAAAGGTTCTTAGAACACTGTTTGGTAGGCCCATAATTAGGCGAGCCAGGACGCTTCGCTACTGCTGGAATGAGCAGAGGCACGCGTCCTCCGCACAAAGAGGGGCCGGCTGCGCCGGCGCGACGGGGACGGCAGGCCACTCCCAAGACCACCACGCGCTCAGGTCGCTCCCGAAAGGGTCAGCAAGGCCGCCCAAAGAGGAGGCGGCCCGTCGTCCGCCCGCGGCGCGACGGAACCGGCCTCTTTTTGACTTCAGCCACGTCGAGTTATGTGTTGCAGACGTGCGTATCTTTCAAGCGGGCGAGGCGGGGGCCCGAGGGGCATTCACGTCTGTGACTCTGCAGCGCCACGTCCGAACCCGACCCCCACCAAGAATCGATTCTGCTGAATCGACGGGAGGCGGAAGCAGGGTTCGGATCTCGCCACGTGCTTGACGAATTCCGAATCCTACCCCCGTCCCCCGCCGAAGTGCCTGAATCGGTAACCGGGGACTTGCCACCGCTCGGACGTCCATTCCCCGTGCATTTGTCGGTCTCGTACGAGTTTCTTTTTATATTGTTTGAACTTTTTGCTTAATGATCCAGGCTGCTCCTCGATGGCCCTCGCAGGGGAACAAAACACACACACACACACTTCCCAGCGATGCCAAGGCGACAGGGTCGGGTTCGGATTCCGCCGCCGACCGGATTTGGGGGCGGCCCAGGTCGCCGTCGTCGCCGGCGCCCGACCCCGCCGGCACGGAGCGCGGCTCCTGGGGCACGAAGAGGCGCGAGCGCAGCAGCAGCAGCACGAGGGTCAGGGGGCACGTGGTGCAGCCGACGACCGTCCACCTCCGCCGCCGGTGGGAAAGAAGGCAGGCAGCGGCTGCGCTGCGCGGGCGGGGTCGGAGCACGATCGGAGCCTGCGCGCCCTCCTCGCTGAGGAGGTGCTGACGCCGGAAGGCCGCAGCGTCCAGCAAAGCTCGCAGAGGAGAGGCGGCGCACAGCGGCGCGCCGACCACCGCAACCTGGCACCTCCTCTGCGTCGCTCGCCCGGGAGGCCAAGGCAGCAAGCAAGGCACAGTCAAGGTCGCGGGGAAAAAAATCTGACCATGACGCGCATCCCGGGTCTCAGGGGTCTGGCGGTGCTGGAGGCTGAGGCAGCAAGTGGAACAAAGCCAGGATCGGGACAACATCGGATCGAGATCGATTCGGCTATACGCAAAAGAGAGCCAGGCGAGAGCGACCTCTGGTACACAACTGTGGGGGTGCCGCGGGGGGGGCCAACGTGGGCCCGCACCGAAGGTCACTCCGGCAGAGGGACACACTACTACGCGTAGCCGACAAGTCGGCGAGCCTGGGGGGGAAATGAGAAGGGGCGGGCCTTCTCAGAAGGCTCGGAAGTCACCTGGCCTTCTGCGAGGTGTCCTGGGTTTTCCAGAAGGCACATAATACTTCTCAACAGGTGCGAGGGCTTCCGAGAAGTCCCGCCGCCTTCTGAGAAGGCCTTCTCCTTCTCACTTCCCCCCCTCGCTGGCCGCCAAAAAGGAGGGAGCAATACACCACCGTTCGACCCGAGGTTTGCTCCTCGTGCCGCCGCGCGCTGGGCTTAGGTCGGGCATGTCCTCCTGCAGGCGGATTTTGGAACAAACATTCAAAACGTAAAACACTGTTCGAGCATAGCCAAACATCGTACGACAATCGTCCCCATACTATTGTTTGCCTATTTTTCAAGATCCCTCCTGTAGAGGAACATGCCCGACTCTTGCCATCGCTCGGAGGTCCATTCTCTCTGCATGTTTCGGCATCGTCCGTGTTTTTGTTTGCTCGATGATCCAGGATGCTCCTCCAGGGTCCTCGCCGAGAAAAAGTGCACACGTCCGAGCGATGCCAGGGACTTGACGCTGGGCCCTGGAAAGCATCCCGAAGCAGCACCACCACCTCGGGAACCTGTCTTTCACCGTGGCCCGACCGGCACGTCGGCACGCCCGGCCGCTGCACCTGCTCCTCTCTCGCCGGGAAGTGCCGAAGCCGAGAGGCCACGGCGTCAGGCGGGGCCTGCAGAAGAGATGCGACATACGTTACAGTGCGGGCCCGGCCACAAGAAATCCTCGCAAGAAACCCAACGAACCCGTGCGCGAGGCGCACCAGAGGGGACCTGGAGCACCCTGAACGCAAAAGCTCCTTCAACGGCTGCGGGAAGTCACCGCGCAGCGCGAGAAGCGAAGAAACCCAGGATACTCTGACGAAAAGCATATGGTTTCTTGATGTGCGCCCCCACTGTAGGGGCCCGACCACAAGAAACCTTCCACAAGAAACCCAGCCCTGAGACTCCAGAGCGTCCATCGATGTTTGGTGCGGGAGCGTCGCGCTTGCCATGGCAAAACCATCGACACCCAAAAAACCCAGGACATCCTGGAGGCAAGCAGGGTGTTTCTTGGCATGGGTCTCCACTGCGCAAAGGCATGTAACCGCCGCAGCTCGTAGCCCCCGCTGCGTCGATCTCGGGCGCTGAAAACTTCGATCGTCGTTCACTTTGGGTCCTCCAGGGGCCTGTCGAGACCTCGGGGACCTCCCGAAACCTCTGGCGATCTCCTCCTTCTCCTCATTCCTCCACCTCCACTTCCTGGAAGCCCACGAAGATCCCATGTCTCCACCTCCGCCTCTGCTGCCTGGAAGCCCGCAGAAATGCATCCCTCTTCTCCACCTCCGCCGTGTGGAGAAAACCCACGGGTACCCCTGGGGAATCCAACAGGTACCAATACCGCTACTCCCCGGACCTCTCAATGGGTGCGTCCTAACCAAGAATTCGAAGCGAATTCAGCGGAGGCGACGAGGGCGGGAGCAGTATGGGTACCTCTTCCTGCTCAGATCCTCCTCCCGCTCCATCTCCGCCGCTGGGAGGCCCAGAAAGATCATCTTGCTCCTGCTCCCCCACCTCCACCGCCGAGAGAGTGAGACGGACAGGAAGGGAGCGGGGGCGAGCCGGAATTGGACGGGGATGGAGGCACGGTCGAGGGGGATGCGGTGAAGGCTAGGGATGGAGAGAAGCGAAGGCTGGGAATGGACCAGTAAACCAACGACACCACCCCACCGACGACCCAGCGACGTGGAAGGTTTAGGCACTTGCCCATCTAGGACCACCTACGTCCCACCTCCACATCACCCCACCTTCGACACAGATACGACCCAGCGGGTCGTAGGTGGGATTGGCGTCGTTTGGTTCTTGGTCGATGGGACTGCGGAGGGGGGACAAATCATCGGAACCAAACGAAACGTGCCAACCGCCCGCTGGCGGGGCATGGAAGGCAGGCGTGGGCGAGCCGGGCCGGAGCCCGCCATGGCTGTGGTCGGAGTCGGCGGTGGCGGCTGCGTGGTGCTGCGTGTGAGGCGTCGGAAGCTCCACCTATTGAGATAGCAAAATCAATCAACATGTCGGATCGAAGGTAAATTTGCGTCGGGTCTGGCTGCATCGGCACGGAGTCGGAATCGGATGGGATCGACAACGCCAAACTACTCAACAACTATCCAGCGCTTCGTTCTGGAGTCGTGGCTGCTGTCAGAGACAATGTGGTATCGGTCTCCGACCGCTTCCACTGGCCTCGGTGTCAGCGGAGCGATTGTTGTCGGCAGTTGATGTCCAGCTCCCTCGTCGCTGCAAGTCTGGCCAATCAATCATACAATTGTGTGGCTACTCACCCTGCCCACAACCATGTGCGTCGGAAATAATCCGTCGTCCACTCGTCCACGCGGGCCCACCTGGCATGGTATGTTGCTGCGTGTGAAGCTCTCCGGGTGAACGCTCCTCACGGTTCGAGGTCGGGCAATCGCCGACACCATCGAGATCCAATTCCCGCGTGTCATTATCCGAGCTGGTGATAAGTTTACTGTCATCGATTACTTTTGTCTCGGCGTCGGCGCTTCCCGCAGTGTCGGTGGCACCGTCGTTGCGTTTGTTCGATAGCCGAGACTTCCCTTGACTACCCGCAACATCCGTCGTTGAATTCGTCATGATGCTTGGAACATGTTGTTGGTAGCTGGGGTCACTTGTCAATTGAACAACCGGAATCTGCTGCCTATGGGTTAACGTTTGCTAATGAATTCATCGCGGAACTGGTTGAACCTGCGCACGCCCGACGCGATTGTGTTGGCGAGCAGTGTCTGGCGGAAATTAGCGGAACGTGTGCTTGCGGCTCCAGCGCCTGGTAACCTGGTGCTCGCTCAGAATGTTTACGGTGTGACTGTCAACGTCGGTGTGTAGCGGTCCGCCGTCCTCGTCTGCTCGCGCTGGTAATATCCTTGACGTTGTCAAAATGTAACGGAAAACCCCCACTGTCAACCTCATTAAAGTCTCGGAAACGGTCATCCTGTTTTCGTAACTTCGCCGAGGGGAACACTACACCGCTGGCTGATCATACTCTGGTGAATCGAATTACCCTGATGCCGAAACCGGTGCCTTCCCAAGAATGCCATCGTCTTGAACACATGCGACCTGGATGGTAACGTTATCAGAATCCGCATTGTACTCTGATGTTGACGCTTGCCCGATGTAATACAACTTGCAGCACATCTGTGTGCGGCTATGGCGCATTATTCCGAAGCGCATTTCAAGTGAAATGAATTGGTGGCCGACGCTACCAAAAGCCTTCTTACAATCGATCGCATCGGCCCATAGTCGGAATTGCCGCTCGCAAAGCTGCTCGTGCAATAGGGTCGCGGTGAAAGGGTCACAATTTGTGCTCAAGCGTTTGCGGAACAAACCTTGGCTTGCTGGCTGCTCTGACTCGAAGTTCGCCTCGAGTCGGCTGCTCAATACTCGAAAAAACTATGTGTAGGTAGAGCTAAGAATACTGGTATGTGTGGCTCCGAGGGTCCGCGGGGAACGAAAACTGTATACGACACTGGTTGTAGCAACTACGTCTATATTGATTTGAATCTATGTTTCGAATTCGATTATGCCGTTGCACACGCCAAGCGATGTTGCTGTAAATGACAGGCCTCCTCCCTCGGGCTTTTAACAGCTGTTCGGTGATGCCAAGTGTGTACTTGCATGTGCAATGTTTGACCAACATCGCTGAGTGCTGTAGTTCGTCTCGGAAAATTGTGTAATCACGCTGTGTGCGTGATACGTCGAGCGGTATCGCGAGTCCAATGCTTGGTCGTGGCCAGGTCCAACGGTTTCTCAGTACCCTCGGTGCAAACGGTCGTGGAGAAGACACGTGCGATGCCTTGGCCGTCTGTGTCGCTGCCTCCGCCCTTTTGTAGCATTTGTCGGTGCTCTGCCGGAGGCAGCGGGAATCGTGTACACGATGGTAAAAAGCTGCGTGTCGCTGCGCTCGCTCGATCCCCTGGTCCAATTATAGGATGCGTCTGATGGAGCTGGTTCAAAAACTGTTGATGTTCTGGTGGTTGCGCCACTATGCAGAATGAGCGTCCGAAAAAACATCGGGCGTCTGCATCGTCGGCGTGTTCGCGAACGTTCGCTGATGTCGAGTGGCTGCTGGATCGCTGCTTTGCCCACGACTCTTGAAATTCCGAAATCATTGCTTCTGCGGTGCGCGTGCAAGCGTCGTGCGGGTCGCATGGTGGATCGTCGCTGGTCAGGTGTTCCCTCAAATAATGCTGGGCATCAAGGTCGCCAATCCGTGGTGGATGCTGGCGAGGTTGTCGGCGCCGCCTCTTCGCCGTCGTGGTCGAGATCTCATGCTCTAATCGGATGAGCACGGATTGGTAACCGGATCCTAAACCTGGGCATGCCGGATTAAACGCGTCAAGCAATAACACCACATCACGGTGGTCTATAGTCGATCTGACCTTCTGTGCGCTTGGATCCCGTATGCGTGTACGTGAAACTGTTCCGCAGGTGCTGGCACAAAATTGTGGTCATGTTGGGGAGCTTGCGTATGTACGACTATGGTCGTAGCCCGATGCTGCATTGATTACACCCGTCCAGACCGTAATTGCAGGGAGCTCGGTTCCCTGTGTCACGATCGGTGTCGTCAGCGTCGTCGTCGCACCATCTGCCCACTCGTGCGCTGAAAGCGCATGTCAGTGTAAGCGTGACGGGATGGCTTGCTGCACTCGCATCGTAGATGTATTGTACATGCTCTCTCCCACACCCTCCGTGTGGGACACTCGCCGTGGCGATCCGTAAGTGTCACTGTGGGTTCTCGTGGATGACCCGTCGGTACGCTCACACGCGTAAAACTCTTGACGCGCCGTGCGTGCCGTCGTTGCATCAGGAAAGCAACGCCCCGAGCCGGCTCATCGCGCCCGCAATCTAAGAATATGCCCACCCGGAAATCAAACAAAAAACTCCCTCGTGCAATCGATGCGATCGGTCAGTGAAGTCGCGGTCTCCTGTGTCTGGTCGTCTGCGTTCTCGTGAAGTGTTCCTGCTCCGAGAGGGGCCGTATCACGCTGCGCGTCGGCCGCCCGGCACCGCCGGAGACCGCGCCGAGGCGGAACACACGTCGGTGACTCTCCCGTGCCGCTGCGTCGTCCTCGCTCACCGCCGATGCTGCGTCGGGAATGCCCGCCGCTGCTGCGGATGCGTCCGCCTCCTGCCGGAGCTGGGGCCGGGGGCCGCGCCCGCAGGTGTCCGCGCCGGGATGCGGTGCTGCAGAGGCGGGAGTGGAAGGGCTCGGAACTGCGCTGGAGGCTGAAAAGGGTAAGTCGAACGTCTGGCGTGTACGATCCGAGGTCGAACACGGAGCATGGACCGAGGCTGGAAGTTGAAACTCGGATGGTCGGGGCTGGAGGTCGGAAGGTCGAGGCCGAAGACTGCGCACGAGTAAGATGTTCGGTCGAGAGCTGGATGGGGGAGAGGGATGGGGGGCGGGGGTGGAGGATGGAGGGGGAGAGGGAGATGGAGGGCAGGAAGGGGAAAGGGGAGGAATAGGAGGAGGAGGAGGAGAAAAAGGCGGAGGATGAGGAGGAGAGGGGGATACCCTGCGCATTCTGGGGCCGTCTTGCGGGGCACCGGTGTATAGCAAAGCTGCGCGGGGGCCATCGGAGCGGCATCATACTCCCATGGCCTCGGTTCCGCGGTCCGGTCGCTCACGCAGCACATCATCCCCCTCACAAGACCACGAGGAAGACTGAAGGTCGCGCCCCACCAACCTGACCTCCACTAGATTTGCGTCAACCACCATCGCTTGCATGCGCGAAAAAACATGCGCTCTGCGGCCTGACGATCTGCCACCGTGCGCTCCCTGCGGCAAGCAGCGGCATGGACTCATTCCGAGTGCTGCCCCGGTTTCTGCATTTTGTTTC